TGATTTATAACTTTACCTGTGAGAAAAGAAAATTCCTCGGCGGAGAAAGTGGTGGGCTGGTTTCTTTGATAGAGTCTCAATCCTTTGTAGAAGGGATTCATCTATTCTCTCACTTCCAAACTGAACTAAAATGAATACATTAGATTAACAATTTTCACGAGCTGACATAGTTGACCTACCAATGAGCTTATCATAGTTGATCTTCTTTTCACCTTCCCCAGCTTTAGCTGTCCAAGGATCAACAATTTGTTCTTTAGGTTGAGCTGATTCTGTTGCCATTATTTCTGTACGGACTACGGTTTGCAGCTTAGGCAGTAATGATATTCATGCTAGCTAGATGACCACACCTGCAACTTCTATTATTTTTCTTGGAATTTATCATTGTACATGCAATGTACAGTACTAGATGACCACACCTGCAACTTCTATTATTTTTCTTGGAATTTATCATTGTACATGCAATGTACAGTATAATGTATAGGAGAAGGAAGGGGTAGCAAAGGGGCTTGGTATAAGCAAAGGAACATGATGAAATTATTGTTAATTACGACATGCATGCATTATCATACCATGTTCAACTTGTATGCTATAGGCTATGAAAAAAGCCAGGAATAGCCATAAGCTGTGCATGTGATTGTGCACAAAATATAGTCATAACAGTTAAAAGTAGACTGCATATATGACACATAAAAGAGATGGCACCCCGGAAAAGATGTAGCCATCTGCAGCATGACTGAACAGTCTGTTGAGCTGTGCTTTACATATTAACATTAATGAGTATTGTTTATGTCAATTGTCATTGTATTAATTCAGTGTATTTATCACCTTATTGCTTGCTATTCAACGCTCCAGACATAACACCATCATTATTAGATTTTGTAATTTTGAATGTAGTTGACTAATTAAGTTGTTATTAAAAATATCGCTATTCTTGTTACTTTATAATAATTATTATACATTGAAAATCATTAATAAAAATTATATTAATATGCAAAATTTGATAGCTACTTATTTTACAAATAAATGAACATCCTCAGTAAAAATGAATAATGATTCACCCAGTTCCCTTTTAATCACTCCAGTTGGGACAGTATCATTATTGTTCACTTCATCAAGAACTTCGTAAGGCATTTTATCGTAGATTTTCTCCGTGTCTTCTATCAATAGTATAGCTCGATCTTTATACTTTCCAAATATCTGGAGGACTTTTGGTTTTAGACTATCGAATATTCCTTCATGAAATTATCATACCATGTTCAACTTGTATGCTATAGGCTATGAAAAAAGCCAGGAATAGCCATAAGCTGTGCATGCCATGATTGTGCACAAAATATAGTGATAACAGTTAAAAGTAGACTGCATATATGACACATAAAAGAGATGGCACCCTGGAAAAGATGTAGCCATCTGCAGCATGACTGAACAGTCTGTTGAGCTGCATGCACTTTAGTATTAACATTAATGAGTATTGTTTATGTCAATTGTCATTGTATTAATTCAGTATTTATCACCTTGTTGCTTGCCATTCAACGCTCCAGACATAACACCATGATTTTTAGATTTTGTAATTTTGGATGTAGTTGACTAATTAAGTTGTTATTAAAAATATCGCTATTCTTGTCACTTTATAATAATAATATACTTTGAAAATCATTAATAAAAATTATATTAATATGCAAAATTTGATAGCTACTTATTTTACAAATAAATGAACATCCTCAGTAAAAATGAATAATGATTCACCCAGTTCCCTTTTAATCACTCCAGTTGGGACAGTATCATTATTATTGTTCACTTCATCAAGAACATCGTAAGGCATTTTATCGTAGGTTTTCTCTGTATCTTCTATCAATGGTATAGCTCGATCTTTATACTTTCCAAATATCTGGAGGACTTTTGGTTTTAGACTATCGAATATTCCTTCATGAAAGGCAAGAAATAACGTGTAAATACTAGTGGGCAAGTCATCTTTCTTGACAAGGCTAGCTGACATATGGTGCCCACATTTACTAGTGTAAAAATGAACTACGCCACTCGTAATTGTAATGTCAATCGGTAGCAGCCATTTGGAGCTATTAGTAGCAATATTAAAAATACTGAGTATCTGAGTGTCCCTTCTACTCAATTCCTCCTTCATTTCTTTATTATCATTCGTGATTTTTTCTCTTAGAACTCTATTTTCCTCTTTTATTTTCTCATTTTCCGCTTTAACTTCATTGATCTCTTTCAGCACTTCCTCATTTTCATTCTTCAACTGTCCACAAGCTACAGCTAATAGCGTCATGTGTTTAGCATCAGAAGTGTGAGCCTCCATATCTTTACGTAGTGGTTTCTCATTGCATCCAGCCCAACTAAATGCACAATTTACCGGCTGTAATGGACAATGAACAGCGATATGAGAATTAAGACGCTGACGAGACATGTGTGAAGATGTACATGTGTTAGGGCAGGGGACAGGATAGGACGAGCAATTTGTAGAGTGATCCTCAGTAATAAAAAAATAAGCTCCTTCTACTTTACAGAACTGGCATTGATAGGGTCGCTGAGGGCATTCGTTCTGCTCGTGGTTTTTAAGATAACACCTGCCTTCTTTTTTCGAACACAATACATGTTGACACTGTACCTCTTCATATAGACACTCTCCTTCTCTCTTCCCATGATTAAGGTGAATAGACAAACTCCTTAACTCCACTCTCCATTCACAGCCTTTGCTTTTATTAGTACAGTGGACTTGTAACCCATTAATGATGCGGAGACATTTCTTATCAGGGAAGAATCGATATTCTACTTGTTTGCAAATGGGACAGGCTCCATTGCTAGCCTTTATCCTCTCTATACAATATCCACAGAAATTACGACCACAACAGCTGACCTGATGAGGATCTGTGAGGATATTGAGACAAACTGGGCACTCTATGTCTACATGCTCTGGAAGCTCTTTAACAAAAGAAAGTTCATCCTTAGAGAAGTGTGACATGATGTGACCATAAGGCCACTCCAATTTGATTCCTTGTTTCCCATTACCCGCCCGCATGGGGCCACATCGCTATTCATTATTGCGGTTTTTCATTGATTATACAAGCAATTTATACAGCTGATAATGAATAAATTTAATGAAAATGAACAAACCCGCCCGCCCGCATCAGGCCCGCCTCTGTAATGGGAAACTATGAATCTTATTGGAGTGGCCTAAAGGGGCTAAATAAACTCAAGGTGTGTCACATGATGTGATAATAATCTCTAAACAAATAGATCTAGTCTACATTACATAATGTCCTTATAAGGAAGTATTGAATTATCTAGACAATCAAAAAAGCATTATACATAATCCCCACACACATTATTTGAATAAAAGGTACTACTATAATTGTTTAAAGATAAGGAATTCTGGTTCAGTTAGTGTACGAGTTTTGAGAGTGATATCCGTCACTAACACTCCTGGCGGTGGAGGTGGTAATGCAATCAAGTCTTTTTGAAGAACATCATGAGGTGATTTGAAGACAAAAAATATTTTGAAATTATCCAATAAAGTTACGGTAGTGTCGCCATATTTAGCGGAAATATGAGGAAAGCTCCATGAGGTCTTTCCTCCATGATATGCCAGCAATAACTTGTACGACAAAGAAGTTAATCTTACAGCTTTGATTGACATCAAATGCCCATGACATTCATCTGTAAAAAAATGAGCAACATCGCTGTCTTCTGTAATTGAAATTGGTAACATCGGATAGTTAGATCCAGCTGGGATTTCAAGTGTTTGAGTTGTTGAATGGGCACAAGTTGATGTTAGCTTTTCAACTTTGATATTCAACTGGTTTGCATCATTTTCTAGCTGTTCACAAGTTTTCTTCTGCTGTGCCAGCTCCTTTTTCAAATCTTCATTTTCTTTCTTCAGTTGTCCACAAGCTACAGCTATTAGTGCTAAGTGTTGAGCATCAGTAGTGTGGCCATTCATATCCTTACGTAACGGCTTATCTGTGCATCCAGCCCAACTAAAAGCACAATCAACTGGTTGCAATACACACTCTGATAGATGACGAGCAAGGTTACCCCAGTGTTATTAAGCTCTGCGAACATTTGTTTGGACAATGGATAGGATATCCTGAACAAGATTTGTAATGTTCAGTAGTAATGAATATGTATGTGCCTTTTGTTTCTAAGCAGTAAGGACACTTATATGGTCGCTGACGGCAATCCTTGTTCTCATGGCGCTTGATGGAACTTCATAAAAAGATTCTACGGCATTTGTCATAACGGCACTTTATTTCTTCATATTGACATTCTCCTTCTTTTTCTCCCTCATTGAGATGAATGAACAGATCCTTCAATGATCCTTTCCATTGACAACCTTTCTTCTGATTGCTACACTTCACAGCTAATCCATTAATGACACGTAAGCATTTTTTGTCAGGAAAGGACTGGTAACTATTATTTTTACACCTCTTTATACAATTCTCACAAAAATTATTACCACAGCATGTTACTTGATGGGGATCTTTTAAGATATAAAGGCAAATTGGACAGTCAATATCAACATGCTGGGGCAGCTCTTCAACAAAAGAGAGGTCTTCTTTAGAGAGTTGGGACATTTTGGTTTTTAAAATAAACTGCATGTGACTGTCTCATGAAACTGTTTTGATACACGAATATGACTATCAACCAATTTGAAACCTTATTAAAACACTTCAGTAGTGTTATAAATCCATGCTAGTATACAGGTATACCTAATAAGTAGCAACAGTTAAGTATATATTTTTGAAATCTAAGTATCCATTCTATACACACTTAATTTGTAATATTATCAATGGAATCAAAATCAGCATTATTAAATTGACTTTTTCATAAAAATCTAGAAAAACATCATTGACATGATTAACTGTATCTCATATAAGCAAAAAGTCAACAATTACAATTTCTTTACTTTGTGGGCAATATCATTCCTTCCAGCCTCCTTCAGTGCTTTAATTAATTTGTGGCGTGTTGCATTGCGACGTCTTAACCAAGTAAAGATCATTTCCTTCTGACAACGATCAGCATCCCTATTATGTTTGTATTTGATCCTTTCCAAATCAGCATTATCAATACCAAGGTAAAGTCCTACAAAATCCCAGTCGCCAACTAAGTTTTTAATGGCAGATAGTATGATAGGAGCATGACTTTCATCTAAAAAATACAAATACTCATTGTTCTCAGTACTATATATGCTCATACTTAGTCTTTTCTTAAAATTTGATGGTAGTGGTTTGTATATTGGCAGTGATTCAACAGTTGATGATATTGATGATTCTGGAGTATAAGCTGATGCATCTTCATCACTTAATGACTGCATTTCTCCCTCTTCTTCCTCAATAGCTGTGTACATGCAATAAAAATATAAATAGTTATGGATCATTGAAACTTACTATCCTGAGGTAAAACATCACCGTCTGCATTATTGGAACATTCATTCACTGCCCCCACACCTTTAGAGTATTATTTCAAGTTTTAATGTATTTCCAAATAATTTAGCTTACTTTCAACTTCTGGAGAATGCAGTGATAAGGTCTTATACTCTTCCAATGGTGAAGGCAGTGGTAATAAGACATCATCTACTGCATTATTATATGAATAGTGAATACATAGCTTTTACACTTACATGGTACCAACTGAACACTTTCAGTCTCGTTGGTATGAATTACAACTGTATTTAAAGGGTTTGCTGCACTGATTGCATTCAAGTTATTGTCTTCGTTGTGATCAATAGTGTCGAATGGAGACTGCTCAGTCATGCTATGTTGCACAAGAAGTTCTAAAGAAAATAAAATACATAAGTTTAATAAATAACTACATGTAAGGTTACCTTGCTGTTGTTCTTCAATGATATTAGTGGTGTTTCCTTCTTGATTGAAAACATCCCGATATTTTGGAGAATCAATATCTTCAGTCAGTTCAACTAAGCATGCGGGGTCATCTCTTGATAAATTAATTAATGAAACATCATCAGAGTCTGCTGGTAATTGATTACTAAGTTCAATATGGTTATTTTCCTCTTCTATAGGAACAAGAGAAGGAAGGGGTGGGTCAATGTTTCTCTCTTCATCTTCTCCAATAGTATTAGTCGATGGAGTATCAACAATACTGCTTAAGTACAATGCTAAGCGTAAATCTTCATCAAATGAATCAACATTGCCTGTAGTTTCATGAGAAATTCTTGAATGGCGTTCATCATTGTTGTCCTGCTGGATCTGCCTTGATGGAGCTGTGGCTGCAACTGGTCTATGGTGTCGCAAACCAGCTGGTCGTACATTGTTTTCATCATCATCAGGGTCATTTGTTGCTAATCGTTCAAATCGTTGTCTTCTTCGTTTCATCTTTTTACGGCAACCTTCATAACAATCAAAAAAGGCATCTACAGCATCACTATCATAATGATCACAGCAACAAAATATATTCTTTACTACACAACAGATTAGAAAGCAACAGCAACAGCAAAAAAGGCTTCCCAATACAGTTGTTGCAATGAAACCAGCGTATGCTGACCCACGAAGTCTTGGGCCCGAAAATGTATGGAGCATGTCAGTAGTGTTAGTTGGCTGAATTAGGAAGTATGTGGTAGATTCATCAGTACAAATGAATGTGTTACACAGAGTAACAGTGCAGGTATGTGAATGGTCACAAGTTTGTTTAAGTCCAGTAGTACTATAGCGTCTACGTATAACAGAAGCCTTAGCCTGAATGGTGAAGTCGCTACTTACTTCAGCCCCCACGTAATATACTCCATCAGTTGTAATATTAAAGGAATAGCTATATGTGGCATTTGATGCAAAGCAGTGAGAGGCTGTTACTTGCCATGGACTATTTAGATTTGAGTTGAAAAAATTATTAAAACTAGTCCTGTTATCAAAAAGATGGAGGCAAGCTGCTTTTTCTGAATTAAGCCCTTCAGTAAGCTCTATTGTTATGTTATACTGAATTGAAGATCCGGCAAGTAAATAAATTGGATTGTAGCTTCCAAGATAATTTAAATCATATCTCAACGATACCAAGAATACTCTTGACGATACTGAAATATGAATTTGCTGAGGATGAAGGTCTTCAGTGATAATTGGAGGAATGCGATTGGTTTCAAAAATTGCATTTTCATAGTAGATTTCAAATTTTACTTTAGCAACGGCAGGAGTATTAACTTCAAAAAGTGCTGAACTGTCGTGCAGTATGTCTCCAATAGTAGAAATTCCTGCAGGGCTTTCTATTACATTTGATATAAAGCTAATACATAATACAGCTATCATGAATGAAGTTCCAAGAATGCAACCACATAAAACCATAAATGCTACATAAATGCCTCCACAATCTGTTTTATAGATAATAGAACACATCATGAAGCTACATCATTATGTGCAACTCACCATGACAATGTTTTCTACTGCACATTATTAAAGTCTCAACAAGATCATATCATACAGGAATACCGCTGCTGAATATGAATGATAGATAGTATTTTAAATACACACAATAAGCTTTAATAATACTATAGATATAGATACAAAACATTTGTGAGGCATTAAGGAATCTGTGTTTATACAAAACATGATGCATGCACACACGATAATGGTCTAATATAAAATAATAATATTTGCCCTATACACAGTTAGTACAAATATAGATTAGAGGTTGGTGTTCATAACTCTACACATAAAAGTACTGGCATAAAACAATTTTTGCCCCGATAAAAAGTTGTGACGAGCCAAGTTACCAACTGGCCAAGGAATTATGCTTAATAAGATTGATCCAGCTGGAGAATAGCTTCGCACATAAAAGGTCTATAGATCTATGACTATATAGCTCAATATATAGGCATGAGTGAATCAGGCATATCTACCAACCTTATACCATAAGTTTAGGCTTTGATGATCAAGTTATACAAATAATTGTTATGCTCACTGTATAGCTAACACCAATAAAATATTACGCACCTTTTTGAGCTGAAGACTACTGAAATCAAGATTGAAATAGTTTAGAGAGGAAGTTAGTCTCGCGTATCCGGACCACACCCTCCGTGCGGCAAGGAGGGTGTGGTCTGGCATTTGATACAAAGCAATCAGAGGCTGTTTCTTGACCATTCATACTTGAGTTAATAAAATTATGAAAATAAGTACCATTGGAAAAAAGATAGAGGCATGTTAAATCGGTTCTTTCAGTGAAATACACTGTTACATTATACTAAATTGAAGATCCAGCAAGCAAATAAATTGGGTCATAACTTCCAAGATAATTCAAACTTCCTTTATATGCATTATCAGACAAATTAGATGAAACAATCAAGTGTTGAGGAGAAAGATTCTCAATGACACTCAGGGGAGCATGATTAGTTCTAAAAATTGTACTTTCATGATACATTTTAAATTGTACCATAGCAACAGCAGGAGAGTTAACTTCAAATAGTGCTGAACTGTTGCCCAGTGCATCTCCAACAAGAATTGAACCAGATTCTATTGTTGCACTACTGGACAAAAAAGAGATGAAAAGTACAGCTACGAGGAATATAGTTCCAATACAGCAACCACAGAAAGCTATAAAGGCTGTACAAGCACGCCCAAATTCTGTGGGTGAAAATTATAAAAGATCTACATCAGCTAAATCTACATAGCTTAATTTCAATTTACCTTGCCAGACTATATTGCACATTACTTATAGTAATCACCTATTAACAAAGCAAAATACTGCATAATCTAGCACATTTTACAGTAGCTTACAGTAAGACATAATTTTTGTGGTAAACTAAGCCAGGACAGTAAACAACAGTAAATTATAATAAACAATACGTACCAAAGTAAATAATTTACTTTGGTATGTGATGTTTATTATACTTACTGTTGTTTACCATCCCGGCTTAGTTTACCGCAAAACTGTAAATATAATAGACAGTGATACTTTGGTAGACAATGTAAAAATTCTAAATTACAATTACTAAACTCAGGCTAGATCTAAACCCAGCCCAAACTTCAGTCACTTCGCTTCTACTATGATTCATGGACACCAAGCAATTTTTAACCTCGTTTTTAACTGACAAGTAGTAAAACGCTAAATTAATTTGCTTTATATTTACCTTAAATATACAAGAAACAGAGATAGTAAACACGATCAACTTGGTTAAAAAGGGAAGACAGGGTTATAACAGCAACCATAGAGCCTTGATAGAGCCGATACAGTAAGCTACGCGCTCGGCTATCGTGCGCAAAACATTTGTGGGGTGTGGCACCATAAACCAAATAATTATAATCACGTTGATCAGGCCTGATTTATTATTATTATTATTATTATTATTATTATTATTATTATTATTATTATTATCACTTTACAACACACAGAACAAAAAGTAAGGATAAGTAACATAAGAATGGGACAGGAAAAAATAGAAGTGTTGAAGGACTGACTCCAACCATAGATACAGTATACAACAGGGATTGGAAACGGCCCGGTATCACGTGATCTTTCCCTTAACATTTCAATGAGACAACAAAAATTGTCAAAAAAACCTAGGCGTGTTACGGGTTAAAAATAGATATCCAGGGATATTCTTCAGAAAAGTCTCGAGAAAGTCATCTGTCTAATGACTTTTTAAGATTTGAGTGGTCCCCATTCTAGGAAAACTTTGGCTGCATAAAGCTCTCTTTCAAAGGTATTCTATAAACTGGTACTCTTTGCAATATATCCATTCTCGTATGATTTGAGATCTTTTCTCCCTCTAGCTTCTACATTGATGACACAACAGCTGTTATGATGAGATGTCTAGATTGGTGTGACTATTATCCAATGTACTGAGTGTTTTTAATCTTAATTTTCTCTTAAGCCGTGTTTTATTGAGGACATCAAGAATAGTCGGACCTACGGCGGAATTTCTCCCTCTGGCAACTTCACTATGACTAATAACGAAAATCTGTGGCATTAGTATTGTTCCCTAGGAATCTCTCCAATGTAATGAGCTACAATGAAGTGACTATTTTTGTCCTGTGGATATTTGGAAGGCTGTTTCTGCAAGTGAAGAATACTGCCGTTTATTGATTACTTTTGATAAACTTGCTATGCATGCAACTTTTATTTGATTCCAACTATTAGTTTTTACATTATAGAATAGTTATCAAGTGTCAGTGATAATGCAGCGTCAAGATATATGAAATAAACAGGGTTTGTAATTTTAACATCTATAGGGAGGCCATTTTGAATAAAATTATTAACCCGTAACGCGCATCAACCATTAATTATCCGAGTGTTTCCAATCCCTGTATACTGTATCTATGGTATTTCAGACCCTTTTTTATTTATCCGGTTTATTGATCTGTTTTTATACGTTTACGTGTAAATGATGGGCAAATACGCATAAAAATCAATGCGTTTTTATTTAAAACGTCGTCGTGTAAACGAGGCCTTAGTGTAAACGAGACCCTTATCTGGCTAAAAATATATCCGTTTTACTTTAAAACAGTGGCGTATCTAGACTTTTGAAGATGGTGGGGCAAAGATGGCGCGCGAAGCGCACCGAAAAAAATTTTGCGGTTAATTAATATTCATAATGGGCGTGTCTTTAATTAAAGTACGTCTACGCCCACAATAATGATGATGAAGTCGACTATATCAGACTAGCTCGGCTTGCTCTTTTCTTCTCTAAAGTTCTCTTTTGAGTGTTTTCTTTATTTATTGTGTTCTCTGGCCTTAATCAAGATTGGAGATATCTTAAATTTTTAACTACAGTAAATTAGAAGGCAATATTAATTTTGATTCAGTAGCAGTTGGTAGGGCAAATGCCCTACCATGCCCTACCTTGGATACGCCACTGCTTTAAAACGTAGTCGTGTAAACCAGGCCTAAGTACCATATATCCAACCCACACAGTAAATTGGCCGCCATGTTGGACGTCAAGTTTATTAAGAGTTCAATGGGGGAAAACACCTTTTCTTGCCTTGCTACTTTCTTGAGGCCTTTCTCGAAAGCTTAAAAAGCATCCTGAGGATCTAATGGGGTCTAGTAGTCACCTGAAAGATTGCTATCAAGAAATATAGAGCGGTTTCCTGGTACCAAGCCTTTTCCTATCATTTCTCCATTGCTGCCAATGGAAAGTTGACGTCCAACGAACTAATTTTTTTTTCTTGAAAGTTATTACGGTATGCAATGAATGATACATTTATTTTGCAATGAATATACTTAGCACGCATATCCTCTATTGGAGGTCAATTATTTTTCATATTAACCTAGCTCGTAAAAATATAAACCTATCTCAGTCGTTAAATAATTAATTGATTGGCAGTTTGGCACTCTACGCTTATGCTCTTATTAGTCCATTTGTCAGATTTTTTACTGCCTAGCCTGTTAGATATGTCGGTAGCTTCTCTAGCAAAAATAAAGGTTGGTAAAGCAGATATACATTCTATTTTTAACGACCTGGGGGCGTAGCCCCCAGGTCGTTCCTATAATTGATTTCAACCACGTGCGATGTTTGTATATACCGTACAGCAGGAAATATTTGCGGGGAATTAAATTTTGCGAGTTTGCGATTCCATTTAAAGCGC